AGCTAGGGGAGGCTACGTGACATTGTAGCAGCAACTATGTGTCCATGAGGGGCAAGGCCAAGAGAATCAAAGAGGCTCTGCCCTGACACTGCCCAGCCACTAAACTGGCAGCCACGCACCTCTAAGTGTGCTGTGGTGGACCAGAAATCGGCCCCCATTCAATCAAGCTGTGGTGAGTGGGGGTTTCTGTTTCTGAAGCTTGAAGGCATTCCTGGCCAATGTACACCCCATGATACAAATGGCTCAGGGCACACACCCATGTTAATTGTCTGCCTACTTCAGCTCAGACCCAACGCTGAGAACCCCTGATCCAGAGGAAAAACAGCGGGTGGCTGAGCAATACAGTGCTTACCAAGCCCAGCTGCTGTGTTCCACCCTTCCTTTTCAGCCGTATCTATGCCCCATCTGGAAAATGATTTACATACACACACATACATATGTATATGCGTGTGTGTATTTTGTTTTTCTGTTTTGTTTTATTTTTTTAGTGACAGGGTCTCTCTCACTCTGTTGCCTTGGGCTGGAGTACAGTAGCATGGCCTCGACCTCCCGAGTGCAAGTGATCCTCCCGCCATAGCCGTACAAGTATCTGGGACTACAGGTGCAGGCCACCATGCCTGGCTATTTTTTAAACTTTTCGTAGAGATGGAGTCTCACTCTGCTGCCCAGGCTGGTCTTAAACTCTTGGCCTCAAACAATCCTCCTGCCTCAACCTCCAAAGTGCTGAGATGATAGGGTGAGCTACTGCACCCAGCCCTCAAGTCATGTTTAAACTTTACATATTTAAAAACAATCTATATCATCACTAAAAACAAAAAATTGCTATCTTTTGCTACAAAGAAAAGAAAACTTAAACAAATGAAACAAAGCACAGTCATCCATTATCTGATGTCACATTATCTGGGTTCAATGGACTAGCAAAATTTCTTCACTTTTCTTTTCTATCGTGGGGAGAATCGTATCTGGCAAAACTCGGGGGTAACACTGGCTCCAGCTGGGAAGGGCTGCCCCTCGAAGAGGGAACACATTTTCCTGTTCACAGAAACTGTGTTCAGAAAGGAGATGATTTGTCTGTGATCTCCCAGCTGGCTACAAATGAATTAGGCCAGGCATCACCTCACTCCCTCCTCTCTTCAGGGGCCCCCCAGAGAGGCCTTCCTTGACCACCTTGTCTAAAAATTGCCCTGTGAGCCCACTCCCCTTTCCTGCTTTATTCATCACCATATATTCCCATAGTGTTTATCCCCATCCAACTTATCCTACATTCACTTTTTTTTTTTTTTTTTTTTCAGACGAAGTCTCGCTCTGCTGCCCAGGCTGGAGTGCAGTGGCATGATCTTGGCTCACTGCAACCTCTTCCTCCCAGGTTCAAGTGATCCTCCCACTTCAGCCTCCAAAGTAGCTGGAATTACAGATGTATGCCACCACGGCCGGCTAATTTTTTTGAACTTTTAGTAGAGATGGGGTTTCACCATGTTGGCCAGGCTGGTCTCAAACTCCTGACCTCAAGTGATCCACCCACCTCGGCCTCCCAAGGTGCTGGGATTACAGGGGTGAGCCACTGCATCTGGTCCTATATTCACTTTTTATCTGCTTACTGTTTTATTTTCCAGTAGGATGTCCGTTCCCTTAGGGAAATGAGTTTGTTTTGCTCATTCCTGAATCCCTAGTGCCCAACAGACAGTAGGTGCTCAAATGTATATTTGCTGAGTGAAGGAAAATAAATGAATGAACAAATGAAACCTCTTCTTGTTCTTTCCAAGTTCCCTGAGGCGCTGGTTACCAGCTAGAAAAAATGTCGGTCTTCCTGCTGTGAGAGAAGCAATGCTAGGAATTTACTTGGGATTTGGGACCTTTTACCATATTAAAAAGGAATGTGCTAGATTAAAACAAATATCTATAAGCCTAAAGGATATAAATTAGTAACTAAATAAATAAGGGGGAAGGGCCAGGTCTTCCCTACAGAAGAATTCTACTTAATAAATGTAGATGGAATAAGAGGCACACAAAAACTGCCATCAGGGAAACAGCACAGCAATAACCTTGCAGACAAGACCCGGCCACCAACGGATGCTAAAATTAGTGGGCGGAAGTTTGAGGAAAAGTGGATATGGAATATTAGCATAGCCTCGGAGTTTCTCCCCAAAGGTAGCATTTTGTATTGTTTTGTTAAAGAGACAGGGTCTTGCTCTGTCACCCATGCTGGAGTGGCAGAATCTCAGCTCACTGCAACCTCCGCCTCCTGGACTCAAGGGATCCTCCTGCCTCAGCCTCCTGAGTAGCTGGGACTACAGGTGTGCACTACCACACCTGGCTAATTTTTCTTAATTTTATTTTTTTTAGAGCTAGGGTCTTACTTCAATCGCACAAGGTGGTTTCAAACTCCTGGCCTGGAGTACCCCAAGATAGCTATTACTTACAAAGGGAAAACTGTAACTTCATAGTGGAGAAATCTGGCAGACAGTACCTTAACCAAGTGATCTAGGTGAACATTACCAGGAATAAGACGCACTGATATCATGGACCTCCACAGTGACGCACCAAGGAGGGAAGGCTGACTCTGTGGCATTGTTCTAAATAACGAATAACCTTAATCAAGTCATGAGAAAACATCAGAAAAACCCAAGTTGAGACACACAACAAATAACAGAGGAGTCCTCTTCCAAAGCATCCAGATCGTGAAAGGCTAGGAAAGATGGAGGAATAGTTCCAGATCGGAGGAGGTTAAGGAGATATGAAAACCAAATGCAATGTGGGATCCTGGATAGATTCTTGGAAGAGAAAAGGAAATTAGTGAAAAAATTGGTGAAATCTGATTAATGTCTGTCATTGAGTTAATCGTACTGGGCTGGTGTGAATTTCCTGGTTTTGATCACTGTGTTATAGTTGTATAAGATGGTAACATTGGTCAGGTGTGGTGGTTCACGCCTATAATCCCAGCACTTTGGGAGACGGAGGTGGGTGGGCCATGAGGTCAAGAGTTCGAGACTGTCCTGGCCAATATGGTGAAACCCTGTCTCTACTAAAATACAAAAATTAACTGGGCATGGTGGTGCGCACCTGTAGTCCCAGCTACTCAGGAGGCTGAGGCAGGACAATCACCTAAGCCCCAGAGGTGGAGGTTGCAATGAGCTGAGATCGCACCACTGCACTCCAGCCTGGTAACAGAGTGAGACTCTGTCTCAAAAAAAAAAAAAAAAGATGGTAACATTTAGGGAAGCTGGATGGAGGGTAGATGTGTGAACTCTGGAACCATTTTCACAACTTTTTTTATAATTCTAAAATCACTTCAAAATAAAAGTTAATCAAGAATTATGCTAAGAAGCATCCTTTGTCAGAAATCTGGCCCCTAGCAACTGTGCCACACGCAGGCTTCAGGTACCCAGCCAGGTAAGACTGCCAGGATGAGGGAATATAATGAGACCCAGTGAAGATCTAGGAGAGAGAAACTCCATCCAGAGCCACACAGTTCCCGCAGCTCAGTCAACAATGCTACCTGCGTCCAGGGTCTGAATGCCACAATCCTCCCGCTTCTGCTTTCCACACTGTTATGGTCTCTTGGTTCTTCAAGGATCAGACAACACCCCCTCCCAACAACAAAGCTTGGAATCGTTCAGGAAGGCTTCACTGCAAATTAGAATGACATACTGCCGGAGACCCACGCCACTGTTTAGAACCCATGCACAGAAACAAAGAGAACACTCACTAGCAAACCCCACCCAGACCCAACCCAGAAAACTAAATATAACATATTCGAAACTTATATAGCACAAGTAACCATTTGCCATATGTGTATATTTTAAACGTGTAAATACCCATTACTCATGCCATCTATGTGTATTTATTTATTGTAATTTTTAGCTTTTTTTTGAGACAGGGTCTTGCAGGAGCCTTGACCTCCACCAGTTCTGGTGATCCTCCCACTTTAGCCCCGGTGCAGCTGGAACTACCAGTGTGTGCCACCACATCTAGCTAATTTTTGGATTTTTTGTAGAGACAGGGTCTTGCTATGTTGCCCAGGCCGGTCTCAAACTCCTGGGCTCAATCAATCCTCCAGTCTCAGCCTCCCAAAGTGCCTGGATTACAGGTCTGAGCCACCACACCTGACTCATATTTTTAATCAATAGAGAAACCAGCACATTTACACAGTGGGGAAGCGGGCTGCTCTGAATCTTGATTGTGGTGGCAGTTTCACAACTGTCTACATCTGTCTGCATTTAAAGAACTGTATACCACCCAGGTGCAGTGGCTTACATCTACAGATGGGAGTTGAGGTGCGCGGATCACCTGAAGTCAGGGGTTCAAGACCAGCCAACGTGGTAAAATGCCATCTCTACAAAAATACAAAAACCAGCTGGGCATGATGGCAGGTGCCTGTAATCCCAGCTATTCAGGAGGCTGAGGCGAGAGATCACTTGAACCTGGGAGGCAGAGGTTGTAGTGAGCCCAGATGGCACCACTGCATTCCAGTCTGGGCAACAGAGTAGACTCCATCTCAAAATAAAACAAAACAAAAACAAAGAACTGTATAACAAAGAGAGAGCTTTACTCTATGTAAGGCTTAAAAACTGAATTAAAAAGTAAAGGAAAAAATAAAAAAATATGATATTATGATATGCTGAGGTATGTATAGTCACAAGCAAAGACCTTACTATTGGGGATGGTGGAAGCGAGTCAAGGGAATGGTGGAAGTGAGTCAAGAGGTGCCGCATAGCGTAGTTCCTTTTTCTTACATAGCAAACCAAAATAAGTTTGTACATGTGTACGTAGGAATGTTCATGTGCAGGAAAGGTCTGGCAGGGCAACTGGCCAGTGACTGACAGTAATTACCTCTGGGGTAGATGTTAGGCTGAGGAGAAGGGAAGAACAGTGAAGGAAACTTTCATTTTTCCCTCGGTACTCTCTGTTTTGTAATTTTAAGAAAATAATAAAGATGCTTATGTGTATGAGTTGTAAAATTTTAAGCAAAGCAGCAGCCACACTGTACTCACGCTTAGTACCTTCTAGACACTAGCGCTCTTGGAGGATCCCAGCTGAGCAGATGTCAGAGACTGAGCATCTATGTGGAGGAAAAAGAAGAGGTTAGGTCTCTGGCCGACTGAAGCCTACCTGCTGCAATACCCAGCTGTCAATCACATATTCACTCTTTGAACAAGTATTTACTGAACACAGCCAAGTATAATCCCAGCACTTTGGGGGGCCGAGGTGGGTGGATCACTTGAGGCCAGGAGTTCAAGACCACCCTGGACGACATGACAAAACCCCGTCTCTACTAAAAATACAAAAAATGGCTGGGTGTGGTGGCTCATGCCTTTAAATCCCAGCACTATGGGAGGCCGAGGTGGGCGGATCACAAGGTCAGGAGATCTAGACCACCCTGGCCAACATGGTGAAATCCCATCTCTACTAAAAAAACCCAAAAAACTAGCTCGGTATGGTGCCGCACACCTGTGATCCCAGCTACTCGGAGGCTGAGGCAGGAGAATCGCTTGAACCTAGGAGGTGGGGATTGCAGTGAGCCAAGACTGTGCCACTGCACTCCGACCTGGTGACAGAGTGAGAATCCATCTAAAAAAAATAAAAAATAAATAAAAATACAAAAATACAAAAAAATTAGCCAGGCATGGTGGTGGGTACCTGTAATGCCAGGTACTTGGGAGGCTGAGGCGGGAGAATCGCTTGAACCCAGAAGGGTTCAATCTCGGCAGTGAGCCGAGATTGTGCCACTGCACTCCAGCCTAGGCGACAGAGCAAGATTCTGCTTCACACACACACACACAAAAAGTATTTATTGAACACTTGCCATGTGCCAGGGACCAGGAATACACCACTGTTCTCCAAGACAAAGTGGCTGTCCTCAGGGAGCAGACATTCTAGTAGGGGAGGAGGGCAATAAACAAATACACAATACAAAGTCAGGGAGTGGGGCCTTGATGAAAACCTACGGAGAGCTAGGGGAAGGCCTCCCAGACGAGGGGGCAGAGACGCGAATCCATGAGACCACAGACTGTGTGACTACCTGGGAAAGAGCCTTCCAGAGGCGGGAGCAGGTGTGGAGCATTTCAGGAGCAGCCAGGAGGCCTGTGGAGCTGACACGGGGTGAGTGAGGGGTGAGCAGTGGCAGGGGTGGAGGGGGACAGATGGAGGGCTATTCTAAGGACATTTCCTCAGACAACTGTGAGCAGAGGAATGACAGAGAAATCACATTGTCTTGGTTTGGAGCTTCATATTATGAATTTATGCTTTTGAATATTTAGTATGCTTGTTTATATTTCAGTGAATATTCCATGGATGAATGAATGTCTCCAGGCAGAGAAGGCACTGTCTGTATTGTTTATCATCACATTCTGGGCACCGGCAGAGGCTGGGCACTAAGTCAGGAGATGAGATCTGAGAAGGCCTAGAGCTGTCCTATATCCAATGGCCATTCACTGATAACAATCCCTCCCAAAGTGCCAGCTCTGTCCTAGCAGACATGCGCTGACTCACTCCACTCTCCTGATTACCCAAGAAGATACTATTATTACTCCCATTTTACAGGTGAGGAAACTGAGGCACAGAATTCATAAGGAACCCACCAGCTGAGGTTGCCCAGTCAGTCGAAAGAATACTAAGCCAGGAACAGTGGTGCATGTCTGTGGTCCCAGCTACTCAGGAAGCTGAGATGGGAGGATCGTTTGACCTCAGAAGTTCAAGTCCAGTCTGGGCCATGTAGCAAGACCCCATCTCTTTAAAAAAACAAACAAAGTGTACTATATCCAGCCAGAATGTGAACCCATGCAACCTGGTTCCAGAGCCTGACCACCTGACTAGACCACACTGTCACGATGTGTCAATTAAGGCAGAGCCAACTGTCAGCTGGCAACATCTCCCTGCCCCACTTCCCCAATACCACAATGTCTAAATGCTACCCAAATGCCCAGGCCAAGCTCAAGGGCCATTCAGCTCCTCTGGGAATCCTCCTAGGAAGGAAGCCTAGCAAGCAGTTAGGCAATACCCCAGAGTCCAGGAATCAGGACAACTTCAATGATCATTCCCCTGGGGTTCCCGGAGAAGCTCAAGGAGATTCTTAACCTTTCTCATGACAGGGACTCCTACCAGCAATGTGGTGAATTAGTTGTAGTCTCCTCAGAATAATCTTTCTTTTTTTTTTTTTTTTGAGACAGAGTCTCCCTCTGTTCCCCAGGCTGGAGTACAATGCAGCCATTTTGGCTCACTGCAACCTCCGCCTCCCAGGCTCAAGCAATTCTTCTGCCTCAGCCTTCCGAGTAGCTGGGTTTACAAGCATGTACCACCACCCCAGGTAATTTTTGTATTTTTAGTAAAGATGGGGTTTCACCACATGGGCCAGGCTGGGGTCGAACTCCTGGCCTCAAGTGATCTGCCAACCTTGGCCTCCCAAAGTGCTGGGATTACAAGTATGAGCCACCACATCTGACCTATTAATGCTTTTATATTACGAGATCTAGTGGTGAGTCAAATAACTATAGTAATTTAGAAATAAGTGTTTAAATACTTTGCAATATTTGCAACAACTGTAAGGTGATATGGGAATATCTTTGATTTCTAATAGTGACAAAGTCTCAGATATTGCTAATCCAATTGTGGTTTATCGCCCTGTGCATTTAAAAAAAAGTTAATTTCAGGCCAGGCACTGTGGCTCATGCCTGTAATCTCAGCTCTTAGGGAGGCAGAGGCAGGAGGATACCTTGAGCCCAGGAGTTCGAGACCTGCCTGGGCAATACAGCAAGACCCTATTCTCCACAAAAAGGAAAAAAACAAAAAGACCAAAAAAAAGTTAATTTCAGTTAGAGGGTAGCAAAAATAGAGACGTAATGTTTTTCCCAGTCAACCTCGTGATTCACTCAACTTCCACCCTTCAAGGGTCCAGGAACCCGAGATTTAGAACCCCTCAACTAGACCTGAGAGATGGTAAAAGCAGAGCGAGTTCCAAGGGAAAAGAACAACTGGGGAGTATGGGGCAGATTCCGCTTCGTGAATTTAGTATGGGAAGGGGTCCTAGGCATTGGCTGCTTTGGCCCACCCTGCATCCATTTCTCTTCCTTAGTCAGCCCCTCGAACCTCACCTTTCCCACTCAGTCCTATGGGACTGACCCTACCCATGGGTTGTGGGTTGGGATGGGACTGGTCATATGATCTAGGCCTGGCCAATAAAGCCACTGTACTGCCTTCCCTGTTTCCGGCTTCAGAGGTGGCCTGGGGTGACCCTGTCACCAAAGCCAGGATGATCAGAGCCAGTCATACCAGTGCCATGATATATACTGGGACTATGGGGGAAAGAGATGGTTTATTTCCCTTGGCGCTGCTAAGCTAGTTGAATCTACTTGTGGAGCTGCTAGAGGCTGCTTCAGAGCCTACCTGAGAATAAACCCAGCACAGAAGAATGCAGAGCCTGGAGGTAAAAGGAAACATGTCCTGGCAACCTCATGGGGCCCTGGATCCAGCCATGCCTGAAAGCATTCCAAGCCAAATCTCCTAAGCCCTGTGTCCATCCACTTCCTTTTATACTTCAGCAGGCTGACCTGAATTTCTATTTGTTCACACAACCAGTGACTCTCAACCAACACAGAAGGGCAGAGGCAACTGCTGTTCTTCATGATTCCCATAGCTCCCTACCAGGCCACTTAGGAAAAGCACAAAATAAAATTAGAAACAGTCACTATACATAGAAACAGCAAATACAGAAAAACACGCCTTTAAAACACTCAGAAATGGCCTCTTGGGCCACTGCTATTGCTAAGCTGGTCTAGGAAGCCGTCACAATGGTGGTTTTCAAGATGCTTGGCAGGGCAGGAGGGAACCAGAGGCACCCGGAACATTTTCCTTTATCACTAGACTTCCCATTTTAAAAATTCCTGGGATGATCAGAAAACCCCTGCAATAAAGCTCTTGTAAAATTTTAATAGCCGCCTTTTAAATTGCAATGGAAATTGCTTTCCCTCCACTCTAATTTTCCTCCTTTCTTTCTCTAAAGTGATGCATATGGCTCTACAAAGGCTGATCAGCAGCGATTTGCCGTGGTGCCAAGTGTCTCTGAGCCAGGAACCTACATCCTGGCGACTAGAGGAAGCTGTGGATGCCGGTTGGCCCACAGTCCCTCATGCAGCAGAGAGGAAAATGCCAAAGGGCCGTGGAGACGGCAGCAAAGGAGGGCGACAGGGCCAGGAACCCAGCCAGCACCCTGGTTATTCCAGGGTCCCACTTTCTACCACCTGGGAATGGACGATGCCCTTCGGTTTGCCTCCACAATCCCAGCACACTTATGGCCATGACCATTTGTCACACAGGTGACATGCAGGCTGAGCACTTCACTTCCTACAGGTTTACGGCAAGAACAGAATCCCCTAGAAGAGAATGGAAGAGGGAGAGACGTCTTGCCTGAATGTCTCCGCCCCTCAGCCATAGATATTGGCTCTGGGAGACATGTGATCCAAACACGGCCAATCAGAGCAGGCCCTGGACATTTTGCTGCAACTTCTGGAGGAAACACATGGGCGGTAAGGCAGGGACTGCTCAGGGCTTCTTTGCCACCTGAGGGTGAGCAGAGGCAGGACTGGAGGAAGGGGCTGAGAATGAAGTTAAACCTGAGAAAGGCAGAGTCCAGAAATAAAGAGGGACAGATTCCTGATGAGAATACCTGAGTAATGACTCCGATCGGGCCAGCTCTGAGATTTTTCAGGTCTCCGAACCATTAACTTCCCTTTGCAGTTTAAATCAATTGGAGTTGGGGAGGTTCTGTCACTTACCACAAACTAACAGCACAGGAAGGGGCCTGAGAAATCAATACAGCACTCCTTCATGTTTGGGTGAACATGACCCTTCTAAGGCGCTGATGAAACAAAACTATGTCATGTCTCTCCAGAAAAAAAAAGCACAAAATACTGCCTGTCTCAAAGCTGTCAAAGATTTCTGAAGCCCCTGTCCGTAGGAACTAAGTGAAGAATGCTTTGATCTAGTCTGACTCGTCTGTCCACCTGGTGGAAAAGCAGAATGAGGTCCAAAATGTGTAAAAGACTTTTCTGAGGCCCAGGGCTAGCT